AACCAGGCCTGGACATCTTACCACGTCTGCGTGCACCTTCAAAATAAAAGTACAAGTAGGGCCAAAATAGCGTCAGGACCTTGAGACGATCTGTCTTTCTGCAAGCAATGGGGAGGTACCAGGCTTCAGCAGGCCAGTCGCTGGTTGAGTAGCTCGTTGTCCAGTCGAACGTGAGGCATCAACTCAAGAGTTCTGCATTGCCTCCCCCGGTTCTGCTTTTACTGTTCTGAGTTTGTGCAACTCCAGGTCGGATGTTTCTTAACTGATAATCGCGATAAAGCAGAGGACAGTAGCGGTAACACCTTCGCATTTAAACTATACGGAAGATATCACAGACTTCTGTGTATGGAAATCAAGTCTTTTCTATTGTGGTAACAAATGCTTCCTGTTGAAAGTACGTGGTACTGCCTACTTTTGGAGTAAATGGCTTTTGTAAATAATTTGTCTATTTGTGAATTTAAAGTGAGCAGTAAATCCTGCTAATAAAACAGAACGCACAGAGTCAAATCAGTCAGCATTGTGAATCACTTTTTTATATTTTTCCCTTAGCCACAATTTTCCTTCCCAAGTGACTGATGTTAATTATCCCATTTCTGCTAAAGAAAAACTACCCTGCTGACCAATTAAATTAATGGCAAAAGGATATTCAAATCCATTAAAGTACTCAAATCTCTCATCATTAGCTGCTCTTAAACACTGGAGAGGATTTAGTAATTTTTAGAAGACCCTTACAGTCACTTAAAAACCGGAAAATTGCAGAAGTGTGCAGTGGGGACAGGTCCTGACCCAAGTGGCTCCCTTGGGTGGGTGGGGGGGAACAGGCAGGCCATGGTCCAACCAGGGCAGCCGAGGGAGGGGGGGGAAAGACCCCATGCTCCCTGTAAGTTGAGTTGTGCAGGGAGAAAAGAACAGGCAGGCTTTTCTGTACGCACACAACCCAGGCTAGGGAGCAGGGGTGCCCAGAGTGCTCCAGAGATGGGGGCTCCCATCGGGCGGGGGCTACCCTGCGGCCTCCTGCCCTCCCTCCACAAAGCTTTCTCACCCACACGGAATGGTAACGTTCAGTGAGGGAACTGAAAATGGACTGCACCCACCTGGAGCTCTGCTTGCAGGAGCCAGGCTGAAACAAGGACCAGCCCAAGGTGGGAGGAAGGGCAGCATCTGTCGCAGCCCCTTCCAGCACAGGCTCGTACCCACTGGAAGGCAGCAAAAACTGCATCAAAACCTCTGCAGCTGCCCACTCTTCGCCCCAGTGGCACAGCAGCAATAAGGACTCACCAGGCAGCAGCTGTGGGGTATGTCAAGGATGAGGAGCGGGAGGGGAGGCATCTTCCAGAGAGCTGTTCGCAGGGTATAGATAACCATGCCGTGAATAAACCAGATGCCACCGCGTCTCAGTTGTGGCTTGCTCCAATTTTTAATGCCAAAAGCAATAAATGTGGTGCTATCATGCCAGATTCCTGCGCAGCCCTCCTCCTGTGGCACAGCTCCCAAAACCACAGGCTCGCTTCCTTCTGCAGCGGATCCTCCAGGGATAACCAAAGGTAAAATCCAGTGCCAGCTCCTTCACACTGGCTCTCTGGAACAAAAAAACAGGTGTAACCAGAAACTAAAATGGCGACCCCGCACAGCTAGGAGAGGGTTAACAGAAGAAAAAGCAGTGATTCTCAGCAACAGGCACTGAGAAAATGAAGTATGTATTTTAATAAAGCAATAGGAGGGAAAGGAACTCCAGCCATTGTTCCTCTAGCAATGGAGGATGACCTAAAAGACCCTGGGCCAAGCTGGGTCACAACAGCCAGGACAGGAGATTTCCCAGAGGGCTCCCAGAGTTAACTGTGCTCCTTCTTGGAGCCCGGGAGCCTTTCCTGTGGCAACAGCACCCTCCAGCTGCTGCCTCAGCTGCACAGCGTCACACGCTTACTGCACCGCCCTGGAAACTGCGCCAGCCTCACACCAGCCACCTTGGGGACAGGCCCATGCAGATAGCCCCAGGATTCCAACAAGCAGCAAGGGATGCTTCAGCTTTCAGTACTTTGGCACCTAGGCACGTATGCAACACTTCTGGTGCCTGCAGTCTCCCTTGCTCCCTGTGTTGGCAGGGCGGTGACCCTCGATGCATGCTTGGCCTACTCCCTTCCAAATGCTTGGTATCATCTGTGCCAAAAAAACCCTACACCACTGAGCAGAAGAAAGCAGAACTTAGATGAGACAGACAGACATCACTCCCTCAGACTCACAGGAGATCCTGTCCTCTCTCATGCTCTGTTAGGATCACAGACTGGTTTGGGTTGGACAGGACCTTAAAGACCATCCAGTTCCAACCCCCCTGCCATGGGCAGGGACACCTTCCACTAGACCAGGTTGCTCAAAGCCTCATCCAGCCTGGCCTTGGACACTTCCAGGGATGGGGCATCCACAGCTTCTCCGGGCAACCTGTGCCAGTGCCTCACCACCCTCTCCGGGAAGAACTTCTTCCTGATATCCAATCTAAACCTCCCCACTTTCCATTTAAACCCGTTCCCCCTTGTCCTGTCACAACAGGCCCTTGTAAAAAGTCCCCCTCAAGATCCTCTTCTACAGACTCCACCCTAACACATTACCAGGAAAAGCCCCAAAACCACCAATGAGCTGCAACAGGCTTCTCTGGCACGATGAAGGGTTCCAAGAAGGGCCGGGTGGCACAACGAGGGGTTCCTCCAGGGCAACGCGATAATGGTCTCCAAATAAGCCAGGAAAAGTACTCCAGAAAAAAGGAATGCAGTGAACCACTCAAAAAATGCCAACCAGGGAAGCACCCCAAAAAATCTGAGCAGGGAACGGCTTCTGTGGGGCTCCCCCACAGTTGTGTAGTGATGCACTCTAATAAAGGCTTGATGAGGCAGCACTGCTCAAGAGATATACAGTGAAACTCCCCCAGAAATCCACCTGGTAAACCACCTCATAAATCAAGGCAGTGAAAGAACCAAAAGAGCCACTCGGTGAGGGACTCTAGAATAGCTGGGCGTTGAAGCACTCCTCCGGGGCCACGTGGCAACACCCTGCTCACACGCTTCAGAGCTGCTGGGGGCAGTCCTAGAGAACAGCAGTGAAGCTGTTATTTGTATTCTCATCCGGAGTTTCCTAACCAACAACTCTACAACATTCCCATCAATCTCCTATAGATAGTCATTCCCAGCAAGCTGTGTGAAAGTTCTTGAATGCATCCCAGTTCATAATTTCCAAGGGGTTCCTGGGAAATTCCTCATTTCTCACTGGTTTAGCTGTGCTAAAGAACCACACTGCACATTCCCAGAATGGAAATGCCACTGGAAATGCCACCTGCTTGTAACCATGCTACACCTCACGAGGACACAAATGCCGCTCCTCCTCCCAGACCCCCGCTATTTTTACTGCAGAGGATTAGTCACCTCTGCAGCCAACCGCTCCCCAGGTCCCTAGAAAGCTTCCGTCCTTCACAGGCGGCACCTGCGCAGGGGCACAGCCCACCTCTCCGCCTCGGAAGAAACCTGCAACTCACAGAAGGCCCTTTCCGGCCGAGACACGAGGTGGCCCCCAAAACGTTCCCCTCAGCCCCTTCAAGTGACCACCTGGAGAGCTCCCATTTCACCTGGGAGCCGCTCCTCTGCTCCTCTGCTCACTCCCACCTTGCCCTCGCTGTCTGCGCGCTGCCCAAGAGACACACGGCAGCACGAGGCCCACGTCAACGCACAAAACTCAGCTCCCAGAGTCCGGCCTGGGCTGGGCTCTCAGGGTAATTCTCACCTGAAACAATGTCCATTTCCAAGGATCACCCTTCAAAGGAGAAACACACCAATTAAAAAGCATCCAGAGACAACGACTAAGAGGGATCAGGGTTTCAGAAGACATGGCTTCATGGGACTAAGCACAGGGCAAAGGGACTTGTTCAACGTCAGGAGAGAAGGCAGAAGAGCGCTGTGAAAGGACCTTTAAATATGGAAAATGATGCTGCAAATAAAAAGGGAATTAACTTCTCCCCATGCTATGCCTTGAAGACAAGAAGTAATGGGGTTTACATGGAACAAGGGCAGTGCAGGTGAGGTGCTATGGG